CAGAGGCCTATTCCCTCTGGGGAGGGGAAGACTGCAACCACCTTCCCGACCAGGACTCAGGACTCAGAAGGAGTACAAGAAGAACACGAAGTGACTACATGCAAAGATTTCTCCACAGAAACTCTGATCACCAGGGAGCTAATCACATCAATGCAGAACATCATCGACATGGAAACTATAATCCCAAAACTCTCATTTGTAGTAAGTCAAACTTTTCATCAGTCATGTCTTATGAAATGTTATGGAAGTTTGTACTCCAGCCCGAGTTTTTTTAAGGAATATCGAAAAACTTTCGAGTGGAGTTTTTCAGAATGCCTTAGTGTTAAAATTGGGTAGATTTCAAAGTTGTAACAGTTTAAAAAGAACAGTTCTTTCTGATTGGGTTTGTAGACTAGTCGGGTTGAAGATGACCTCTCTCGGCAAATATACCGAACACTGGAGTGATGAAATGTTCGATGTCCCAACTATTGCTGAAAAAGACGTAGCTGCTCCCGATAATTGTTTTCAACAAGAAGTGGAAATGGAAAAGAAGCAAGTATTCATGGTTTTCTATTGACTCAGCGATGTACCTCTGAAATCAGAAGACATACAGCAGTTACACCTGATTTGGATTGTGTTATCATTTAGCATAGTTGCTTCAACACTTTTGAGATGGTTGAAGGACAAATGCAGATATCATCTAACATCACTTTTGAAAATATCTAAATATTTTGGGACAGTTCGAACGCTGCAATAATGAGAGTGAACATTATCATATTTGTACATGTTTATTATATTTATCACTTTTCAACTTAATTAAAACAATATTGACCTCGGATATGTTTTCTCCAAATTTGTGACCAGTTTGGTAAAGAAATGGCTGTATTTTCTGTTCCACTTCTTTCCACAAAGTGTTTTGCTTTTCGGGGGGATATAAGCATAATAAAATACAGAAAAAATTAAATTAGTTATATTAAAAAATGGTCTGGACAGCCAATTGTACATTTTCGAAACCTGGCAAGTTTGGAGAAAAGGAAGATCAGACTAGTGGGATCAGTATCGGTCTCTTCGATTTAGAAAAAGCATATGATACAACGTGGAAACATGGTATCCTAAAAGATTTACACGAGTTTGGATTGAGGGGTAGACTACCTCAATTCATATCTCAGTTTTTAAATAACAGACAATTTCAAGTTCGGGTGGGTTCCACACTGTCTGACTATTTCCACCAAGATCAGGGCGTCCCCCAAGGCAGCATCCTGTCTGTCACACTTTTTAGCATCACAATGAACAGCCTCACTAACGTTCTGAACAGTTGCGTTGATGGGTCCCTTTTCGTCAATGACTTCAATATTTCATGTCGTGGTAAGAACATGCACGCAATAGTAAGGCAGCTACAACTCTGCCTCAACAAAATCCAAAAATGAGCAAATGAACATGGTTTTAAGTTTTCAAAATCCAAAACAAATTGTATTCACTTTTGTCGTAAATACAAACCACACAAGGATCCAGACCTAACTTTAGATGGTACTCCCATCAAGGTAGTAGAAGAGGCCAAATTCCTTGGACTCATATTCGACCGCTACCTGACATTCTTACCACACCTAAAATATTTGAAAACAAAGTGCTTGAAGGCTCTAGACTTGCTAAAAGTAGATTCAAATACAGAGTGGGGAGGGGATCAGACCACCCTCCTCCACTTGTACAGATCATTAGTTCGCAGTAAACTAGATTATGGCTCCATTGTCTACGGTGGAGCCTGCAAAAGCAATTTAGAAAAATTAGACTCTATCAACCACCAAGGGCTGAGGCTCTGCCTGGGAGCTTTGAGGACCTCTCCGGTAGACAGTCTATATGCGGAGGCCAATGAACCTTCCCTTGAACAACGCCGCATTAAACTCTCACTGCAGTATATCACTAAATTACGTTCAAATGAGTCCAATCCAGCATACAATTGTGTTTTCAACCCGCTCTATGAAAACTTATTTCCTAAACTGCCAAGCCTGGTTCCACCACTTGGAATCAGGATCAAACCACACATATCTGCAGCTAAAATTGATCTCAACATCATTGCACCATACCGACTTCTGTCCTCACCACCATGGCAAATGGTGAAACCACAGGTCGATCTTACCCTCACCAAACTCAAAAAGTCTGAAACAAATCCCTTGGTGTTCCAACAGGAATACAACCAGTTACGTTCGAAGTATAACACTCACAGATCCATTTTCACAGACGGATCCAAGGACGGTGGCCAAGTTGCCAGCGCTACAGTCATTGGAGCCAAGACTGTCTCCTCTAGGATCCCCGACAACAGTTCCATTTTCACCGCTGAAGCCAAAGCTATCTTCTCAGCTTTGACCTACATTCAACAGCAAAATCAGTCCAAAAACTTCATCGTATTTACAGATTCATTATCCTGCCTTCAAGCACTTCTAAACGTGACTTCAAGTCACCCAATCATCCTGGACATATTAGAACTGTACAACGACCTTTCTGCTGGCCAATATGACATCATCCTCTGCTGGTTGCCGGGTCACGTCGGCATAGCAGGTAACACTAAGGCCGATGCTGCAGCAAAAGCAGCTCTTGAAAAGCCCCTATCTCCACTGCTAATCCCGTACAGTGATTTCAAACCAACTATCAAAAGCTATACTCGGGTCTTGATGCAAAAAAGGTGGGACACTCAAGTAGGAAGAAACAAACTCCATGAACTGAAGCCAACAATCGGTTATACCTACTTGGGTTGCCAGTCAAGACGTGATGAAGTAATTTTACGACGATGTCGTATTGGCCACAGTCGGTTTACACATGACTATCTGCTAAAAACGGATGGGGATGGACCCCCCATATGTCTCTCCTGCGATGAGGCTTTCACCGTCAAGCATATTCTGCTTGACTGTGTGGATTTTACATCTGCAAGGGACTCGCATTATCACGCAACCAATCTGTTCTCCAGCGTGAGCGCTCATCTGATACTGAACTACCTGAGGGAAGTTGATCTATATCATAAAATGTAACTGTGTAATGTCACTAACGAATTTATCTGCTTTTCAATTTAATGCTATGACATTCTCTGTTCTAAAATGACAACGTAATGAATGTATGTCTTTGAAACGAAACCACTTTGTACTTACAATGTATATTAATGCAGACTTGTTCTCGTCACTATATGGCTGGAATAATGCCGATGTGACGTAAAGCCAAACTCAACTCAACTCAACTCAACTCTTCTTGTTGACCAAAATGACAAGACTCCAAACCAGTTGGACTTGGCCATACATCCTGGTTCCCGGGCCTCTCATTAGTTTATATAGAGGTCCTGGTATTGGCCACGTAGTGGCGGCGCTCACTGGAGAGATCCAAGATGGCGGACGAGACAACTTTACTCTGGAACTGACCGATTTCTAATACTTCTAGCTGCGACATTACACGACACTAGGCTCAATAATGCAGAATGAAATTAGAATCTGAATCCGGTATCAAATAATTTTTAGAACGAAGAGGTTTGTCTGCATAACTCCATGTTTTTCCCGCAGCATAAGCCCCGCCCACTCGCGAATGTAAACACAACTTGCACGTTTTAGTGCCTCACATTACATGGTGAATAAACCGATGACGGGATGAATATCAACATATTTATGCATAAATCCATAACTATACACCTCATTTCACCTTCTATCATTGTTGTAGAAAATTCATCTCTAATCTTTGCCAAACGTGCACTGGCCCTTGCTGATACCCTAGTAGTTGCACAAGGTATAATTTTTGTTCAAAGTTATGTAAGTTCAAAACCTGGAATTTTCTTACATTCTTATACTGTTTATTTCAACGTATCTGCATAGATAATAAATTTTGTAATATTGTCACTTCAGATCTGTATTTATTTATTTATTTAATTTATTATTTATTTATTATTTGGGGTGGTGGGGTAGCCTAGTGGTTAAAGCGTCCGCTCGTCACGCCGAAGACCCGGGTTCGATTCCCCACATGGGCACAATGTGTTAAGCCCATTTCTGGTGTCCCCTGCCATGATATTGCTGGAATATTGCTAAAAGCGGCGTAAAACTTAACTCACTCAGTCAGTCAGTCTTTATTATTTCTAATATAAATTGTTATTTCCATGAATGTATAGAACTTTTCAATGTTTCAATGTTCAATAATGATTCATTTGTCCTCTGTCTTTATATATGTTTATGGAAAGCGTGTTGTAAGTTGGAAAGCTTTTGACCTGTCCATTTGACCGTGTTGAAAATGCTTCACGATGTCCAATGAAGTGTGACTTTGGTTTCAGTTTGTTTATACTGTGTTGCCGAACTGCCTGTTCCATCACTTGATTATCTGGTTATATTTGATGCCAAGGTCCGTATGGTGGGAGTAATGCAGTGTGGGACCAGGTAACAGTAACTATTTCACGCAGATAGAGTGAGTGAGTGTGAAATGTGATCCATTCAATAATGTTCATCCTTCTTTGACATCAATTCGGATCTGTTTGCAGCATGTAATTTAGGACTGTGTATTGGCAAATCAATTGTATGGCAATATATTGCGATTCAGGTACCCATATTGTGATACGTATTGCTATACATTGCGATTCAGGTACCCGTATTGCGATATATTGGGAACTTTATAAGTTATGGTTCTGATAACAGCAATCTCAAAATTAGGTCGCACAGTCATGGATTCTATGTTCCTTTATATACACTTTATAGTATTGCAGTATGTCGTTTTGTCATTGAATAACAGAGCAGAACATTTCTTGTGAATGAAAGTATGTGTAGATTTTAATTTAAACCATAAAGATAATCAAATACTTCATATGTTTTTTACGCAATATACCGATTCTCAGATAAAAATATTGCAATACGTATCGTTTGATATACCGGTATATTGGTAATACCGTGTAGTCCTAATATAATTAGCACTGGTTATTCACTAGTGTTGACTATATAAGGAGAGATGACAGGCTCAGGGGCATATCACGGATATCAAAGATATTAACATGAATGATTAAGTAATTATAATGCAGATATCGACTTGATATTTTGATTAAGAGAAGATCACAGGAAGACATCATCAGCTTTAATTAGAATGTTGTTACAAACAATTAGCTCTTGTATGGAAAAAAAAGTCAGAGAAAAGTCAAAGGTACTTCATTATTTCGATCAAACGAGTCCCGAATGCCTGCAAAAATAGATGCTATAAACATGATTCCATAATCATCTGGTATAGATTCGATTTTAAAAATGAACTAGAAACCAACTTAGTTGACAACAAAAGTTTATCAAGCTTTCAAGAAAGAATCATTTCCAACTGGCTTTCCTGGATGAACTGATTAAACAACAAAATCCCCAGCCAAGTATTGTGTCTTCGTTGTGCTGAGAACAAAGGGTTAAATATAAGACACATTTTGATGGTATTATACTCGGTTATCTGCGATCATCCGCTCCTCTTCCTGCACAGGATCAAACTGTGTCTCTGATGGGTCACGTGGAGGAAGGTTGGTGAAACGGGAGACAACTCCCACCATTAGACAATCACTGGCCACATTTACTGTGATGCCACAACGATCCCTGGAAGGATAATATTAAATCAATCACAGATACCTTACATTTTAATCAGGGCTTGTTTTGTCATAATTGAGCAAAGTTCTTGTTGTAAGCTATATTCAAAAAAGAAGTTTTACTTAAGAATATAAGCTGCAAGAATAATAGAATATTGGAATATTATCTCCCAGAAGAGGATATTTTTCAAGGTTATCTTCATAGACAAAGGAACAAACGTTGGTACTTCATATCAACAGTGATTTTCATGTAAACTTACATCAGCCAGTTGATTGTGAGCAACAGAGAGGCGCCCCGAACTGGGAGACCAATCGCCCGGATGACAAGCATCAGCATTGCCAGATCAGACCCAGGTATGCTGGCAGTCCCAATGCTGGTTAGGAACGCTGTTAAACTAGAAAACATAAAGACATTTTGCGACTCTTCATACAATTGATGATTTTTATACATTGCCTCAACTCGCAGACTTGGTTGACACCTGCCATCATATCGTAGATCGATGCTTACGCTGTTGATATCGGGATTGTCTGGTTCAGAGTTGATTATTTGCCGACTGCCGCCATATAGCTAGAACACTGCTGGGGGCGGCGTTAGAGGCCAGGTACCCAACCGACCAATTGTACTGACATGCTTTCTGTGTACTGTCATTGCAATTTCGATTCATGAATGTGTGTTCATTTATATATAGTACCCAAGTCTTGTATCGGGTTGTCAAAACTTTAATCCATGATTACGCGTTCCTTCAGGTGAACAATTGCCTTGTCGTTGCTTGTGTTTATGTTTGGAGCGTTGCATATTCGGGAACCATTGGTCGGATCACTAATTCATTTGAAAAGCAAATGTTATGTTATGGACCGGAATTGTGTAAATGTGTTTTATTTACATAAGCAAATGCATTGTTGTTGTTAGTGGCCGAATTCGAGTCGACATAAAACAAACAGAGGGCAGAGAGTGCACACTCACTTAAACTTTAGTTCTAACGAGAGCAAGGGCGGTGGGGTAGCCTAATGGTTAAAGCGTTGGGTCGTCACGCTGACGACCCGGGTTCGAATCCCCACATGGGCACAATGTGTGAAGCCCATTTATGGTGTCCCCCGCCGTGATATTGCTGGAATATTGCTTAAAGCGGCGTAAAACCCAACTCACTCACTCACTCTAGCGAGAGCAGGAAAGAATATGCTTGTACATAGGCAAGTATGATACTGTACTGTCAATATAATGTTACAGACTCAAAGACACAGAAATACAGACAGATTCTCTCTCTCCCTCTCTCTCTTTCTCTCTCTCTCTCTCTCTCTCTCTCATGTCCCTGAGTTTCAGAAACATCAGAAACAACAGGAGAAGAAAAGAATAAATTTTACATCAGACAATGGAGAAGACTACAATGAATTATTTTCAATGCATGAGTTACGTACTGCCCTTGAGCAAGCTCATGATACAGCCACAGGGGCTGATAATATACACTATCAGCTCTTGAAACATTTACCGGAATCATGTTTGGAAACTCTTCTAAATATTTTTGACACAATATGGACTTCAGGGAATTTCCCCCCTTCGTGGCGTAATGCCATTGTAGTCCCTATACCAAAGCCTGGCCGGGATCATACTGATCCGTCTAATTACAGACCAATTTCTTTAACGAGTTGTGTCTGTAAAACCATGGAACGAATAGTAAATAATCGATTAACATGGTATCTTGAAACCAACAACCTAATAACAAATATTCAATGTGGTTTCAGAAAAAATCGTAGTACCATTGATCATTTGGTACGATTAGAATCCTTTGTCAAAAATGCAATAGTTAATAACCAACATGCAGTATCGCTATTCTTTGATCTCGAGAAAGCGTACGATACCACTTGGAAGCATGGCATTTTAAAGGATTTACATGATTTTGGTTTAAGGGGTCGATTACCTCTTTTTATATCACAGTTTTTAAAAGACAGGCAATTTCAGGTGCGAGTGGGTTCTACCCTGTCTGACCATTACAATCAGGATCAGGGTGTCCCACAAGGCAGTACTTCGTCTGTCACTTTATTTAGCATTAAGATCAACAGTTTATCCAAGGTCTTAAACGATTCCATTGATGGATCACTTTTTGTGGATGATTTTAACATTTCTTGTCGCGGTAAGAATATGCATACTATTGAACGGCAACTGCAGTTGTGTTTAAATAAAATAAATAAATGGTGTCTTGAAAACGGCTTTAAATTTTCTAAATCAAAACAAATTGCCTACACTTCTGTAGAAAATATAAGCCTCATAAAGACCCAGAACTGTTTTAAATGGCACTCCCATCAAAGTTGTAAAGAGGCCAAATTCTTGGGTCTGATTTTCGACTCTCATTTAACCTTTCTTCCGCATATTAAATCCTAAAACTAAATGCCTGAAGGCACTCGATTTATTGAAAGTCGTGTCTAATTCAAGGTGGGAGGGATCAAGCTACGCTCCTACACCTTTACAGATCACTTGTCCGCTCGAAGCTTGATTACGGCTCTATCGTATATGGTGGGGCCTGTAAAAGCAACCTCAAACTACTTGATTCTATCCATCACCAGGGTCTAAGACTTTGTCTTGGGTCTTTCAGAACCTCTCCCATTGACAGTCTCTACGTTGAGGCCGATGAGCCATCTTTAAAACTTCGCCGTATCAAATTGTCCCTACAATATATCACAAAGTTATATTCTAATGAATCCAATCCTGCTCACACTTGCGTTTTTAATCCTCTTTATGAGGATTTGTATAATAAAAAACCTTCACTTGTCCCACCTCTTGGGATAAGAATCCAACAATATATTTCTGCTGCTGACATTGAGTTGGAGAATATATCTCCTTCTCGTCTTCTTTCTTCTCCTCCTTGGCAATTGGTTAGGCCACAAGTCGACCTAACACTCACTAAATTTAAAAAAATCAGAAACTAATGACTTACAATATAAACAAGAATATAATCAATTAAAAGTAAATATAATACATATAAATCCTTATTTACAGATGGGTCCAAGGATGGTGGCACGGTTGCTTGTGCCACTGTCATTGGGTCCCGAACAATATCTTCCAGATTACCCAATGACAGTTCAATTTTCACAGCTGAAGCAAACGCAATCCTAACAGCTCTCAAATATATAAATAGACACCCTAAATATAAACAATACATAATCTTTTCTGACTCTCTGTCTTGCCTTCAGGCGATTAAAAATATTTCTTGTAAACATCCACTTTTAATAGAAATTATAGAATTATATAATGATCTTGCAACTGGCCAATGCGACATCGTCCTCTGTTGGTTACCCAGTCACGTTGGTATTTCTGGGAATACAATGGCCGATCTTGCTGCAAAGGCAGCACTCAACAAATCTGTGACACCACTTCTTATTCCTTACTCTGATTACAAAGCAAGCATTCGAACCTACATCCGTGATCTGATGCAGAAGAAGTGGGACACCCAAGTAGGTATAAATAAATTACATGCAATAAAACCCTATATTGGTTACACCTACTTGGGTTGTCAGTCCAGATTTGAAGAGGTCATCATGCGACGATGTCGTATTGGCCACACTAGATATACTCATGAGTACCTATTGAAAGGTGAGGATCCTCCGTTTTGTATCCCTTGTGATGAAAGAATCACGGTCAAGCATGTCCTGCTTGACTGCATTGAATATTCCATCACAAGGGATAAGTATTTTAATGTCAAAACATTGAAGGATCTTTTTAATAATGCTAGTTCTCATTTAGTTATTGCCTTTTTAAAAGAATTAGATTTATTAACTGATTTGTAAATAGATAAATATTTTATTATTGGTAATTTAAATTAGTCACTGAGATTGTTAGTGGCTGTACCCTCAAAGGGGGTTGACGTAGCGTAAAATTATTGTCCTCCTGAGAGGGTACGTAAGTCCCAAAACTTTCAAAGTAAAATATAAATTATCACATTTTAAACGTAGTATTTTTGTTATTTTAACTGTTGGCTAAATTTTCCTACAATCGCCAATGGCTGAAGGGATGGTGTAAATCCAGCTAGGATCCATGCAGGTAGCAAAAGTAATGTAAGTCCCCATGGCTTCTAGCATGGTGATCTACCTTCAGTTGTTGGCGATCTATAGCCCATTTTTATATTGTGTTGTCCCCTATAGTTAAAATGTTTTAGATTCAATTACTAGTTTTACATATATATCTGTGATTATCTAGTTATTTTACTGTCCTTCGTAGGCAGAATTTTATAATTTCACTTAAATTGTTGATATATTTATAACTTGCTTTAGTCACGATATGGCTGAAATATTGCCGATGTGACTTTAAATCTTAACTCACTCACTCACTCACTCTCTCTCTCTCTCTCTCTCGCTCATACACACACACACACACACACACACACACACACACACACATATGTTAATATGGTCAGAAAAGTTATCTCCTTGTAGCAGAGGTTGCTTGTGATTATGGACCAAGGGTTGTCCCTCTGACTGCAGATGTAATAAATGTGATGCACTATGTATATAGTTTCACTCTCCATCACACCCTCTCTCTTACCGGGCGGTGGGGTAGTCTAGTGGTTAAAGCGTTCGCACGTCAGGCCGAAGACCCGGGTTCGATTCCCCACATGGGTACAATGTGTAAAGCCCATTTCTGGTGTCCCCCGCCGTGATGTTGCTGCTATATTGCTAAATGCGGCGTAAAACTATACTCGCTCACTCTTACCAGATTATGAAGAAGTCTCCAAATGACAGGGTTATTCCATTGTACTGAGCTATGAACACAGCAGCCACGACCCCGTACACAGCTCCACCGTCCATGTTTACAGTTGCACCCACTGGGAGGATGACCCTTGAGATCCTCTTGTCCATCAGCAGCCTCTCCTCAACACACCGCATTGTCACAGGTAGAGTAGCCGCGCTACAAGCAAAAACAGTTGAGTGCACAAACTTATCAACTGTTAGGGCACATGACAAGTATATTTCTGGAGCTGTTCGATAGGCATTCCGTGGATGTTGAAAGATGACAATGTAGACACTTTGTGGGGATAACATTTATGTATCACAGAATATGTTGATATTAACAGAAACGATTTTTAATAGAAACTTATTTATTGCAAGGGATGCGACGATTTGTTGTAGATGCTGACACAGATATCAAGCAAGGGCTAGCATCTACACTGAAACGTCTCATCCATTGCAAGAAAGAAGTTGTCTGTCCACAAATAAATCGTTTGTGTTCATCACACCAGCTTCTAAATGCCACTCAAAGAAGTTATGTTAATATTAGACGCTTATAGCGAACTGGTGGATGACACGAACTCGTTTTTTCCCTGGCAACATGATCTGTATTTTATTCATTATGTGTATAACGAGCTACAATCAGTGGCCCCGATGAATTCGATCTGACCGTATTTTACAGTATTTCGGTATAGATCCATTCGAGACAGAGTGTGGTACAGAACTATGTATGGTAGTTCAATCGTGTAAGAAGTCATAAATAGGTTATTGTCCTAAAGTGTTTATATTTGACTGTTTCTTACTTTCTAACAGCAACTGCCTCTCGAGCTGCTGGTGTTCATGTTTGAGTAATAATGTCAGATATATATGGAATATAATTCATTCAAAACAACGCTGTATTTAATAAGAAAGAGCTCAATAGTGCCAAAACCCTGTTGGACAACACCTCGGCAGTGTGGCAGCGCCAGAAACAATAAATGCAAGGTGACGTACATACATAGGTCCTGTCATTTCTGGGGCACAAACCAAATGGGATGATGCTTACCTAATTACACCTTTTCTGAGTTGTTCAATGCGCATTGTGTAGAAACTGAACAAATTAGACGCCTTCTACGGATAACAAAGTCATATACAAACTAGTATTCTATTGTTGCAAAGTAACATTTCCAATCGAGTCGAATTTTTCCAAGAAATTTGTATGGATTAAAGTTCTTTTTTATTTCCCTCACGATTCCAGGTCCCTTCATCTGGTGAACTGCCAAACAAAGGCCAGTTCACCTGAAAAAGGGACCTGACCTGGTCCCGAAACGTCGTGAGGGAAATAAAAAAAGAAGTTTAATCCATAAAATATCTTGGACATCTATGTACAACTTCTAAATGCCACTGAAAAAGAGTCAAAGTTTGTTCTCATGAAAGCGAATATGTATACATTTGCCACCAGGTGATACAGAGACATGGGAATGCATGGTGTAAGCAATCATTTTGGCTCTTAGAGATATAAAACGTTGGTCATGCTCACCTGGAGCTTGTGGCAAAGGCTGTGAGCAGAGCAGGCAGTGATCTGAGGTATATCACATATGGGTTCTGTCTGGTCAGGATGAAGTACATGGCGGGAAGGATCACCACACTGTGGACTGCGAGTCCCACCATCTCTGTAACCATGTAGACCGCAACAGTTTGTCCAGTCTTTGATATGTCAGCTGCAGACATTATCTGGCCCATGATGAGGGACATTACTCCAAATGGAGAGTACCTGGAAACGAATCGGAGGTTTTGGTGCTATATCTGTATACTGTATAATATGTTTCAGTAAATACCCTGTCGTAGGGTTTTGCGATTTTGGGCTTCATGGCATAATCAAATGCTTGTCCTTTGATTCGATGGTCAGGTTTGGTGACTTTGTCATGGTATCCCTGTTACGTAGATCGACGGCCATGGTGCTAATGACTGGAATGTGTAGTCCAGATCAAATATACTATCCCAAAAAGAAATGCATAGGCGTTTTGCATTTGAAATCTATTAATTACCTATTGTGTTCAAACAATCGTCAAAATATGTAACAAAAGTGTTGATAACATGATTTTATACAATTGCACAAGTAAAAAATTGACTTTACCTGAAAATGTTGATTTTGATGAGATTTCTTACAAGGATTAAAAAGGCATCACCACAACGCAACCGAAATCACCTTCCAGTTGAAATTGTGCAGCAAAGAGCATGTACTGTCTGGCTATAAAAATCCAGATTACATTCGGAAATCGTCATTCGTTTTGAAAAGGTCAAATCCCTACGTCACGTTTTAACGCTGCGACACAGAACATCGCCATTGAAAGAATGCACGGTGGAGATTACCAATCTTCCGTTGCCAGGCGTCTGAATGTTAGTCTGAGCACGATATCACGGCTTACAGCTCGTTACAACCAAACAGGCATAATAAATGGCCGTCCCCGTACAGGCAGACATCGAGTCACCACTGTAGCCCAAGATCGGTACATCCGGGTACTACATTTGCGTGGTCGTACTGCCACGGGTGAGGGCACGGCAACCAGGGTGCCTGGACTTCGGAGGATATCCGGTCAAACTGTACGGAGCAGGTTGAGAATGATTGGACTGAGACATTTCCTTCTTCTAAACTGATGCAAAAATTCATGTACTAAAGTCTATTTGTGTTATGCATGTTTGAAAATACAACATTTTCGCAACAGATTTCTGGGCGATGCGTTTCTTTTTTTCAATAGTATATTAGCAGACCGCAGCCATAAAGCTGTAATATTGCTGAGTGCAGCGTTAACCAACACAAAAAAAACTGCTATTGTTGGGAAAGTATCGTTGTACATTATGTTGAACTTATGGGACGAGGAATGTTATCTCTGTTACTTCCAGATTGATTACATAAATTACTGACGGAATCAAAATGGTTAGAAATGTCTAGTTGTTGCAAATATGATCGGAATAGACTTTCGTATAGGTGTTGAGTTACATACAAATTAATGTCGGAAACGAATTGAATATGTAGAGACATTGTATCTGTAATATTGCATGCAGATAGCGCAATTCATTACATTCATTAAGATATTTTTGGATAGTGTAAAAGCTGAAGGATTAATAGTAATATTTCAAACACTAAAGTATTAAATGAGCATTCATGGATCACAAAGTGACTTCGGAGAACACTATAAGTATGCTTTAGGAAAAGTGAAATCATATGAATACGTTATCTTGCAGAAACAATTTTACTATTACATGGCAAATGTACAGAAAAACCTACGGAAGCAATGTATGGCCAATGGCAAGTGCGGGATATTTCACCATTAACGCTTTTTTTACCTTAATGTGGACAAGTGTATTATTAATTTTATTATTTGAGAATCCTTTACGTTTATATCAAATTTGTAAATTTATTCTACCATTCCGCATCCCTATCCCAACTTTTATTCATGTTTCGTTTATTCAACCGTTCGCCTGCTTTTCACTGTAATAAGCTGTCCCACATAGGTTTTTCAGCAAATTAATTATCTTTCCATTCTTTGTAAAGCATCCAGGTGTATGATCACTTTGTCCTCATGCTCGTATTTGCTGTTGTTGATTGTATGTGATAGGTTAACGCAGTGGGCGAGCTGGATAAGGCGCCAGGCTACTGATCCAGCGAGGTTGGGGGCCGGGATCGAGCCCACCTGTGACCGGGTGTAAAAACCTTGGAGTCAACTTAGCGTGTAGACTCTTTCCGTGTTGTCACAACCCCTAGTGTACAGTACACAACGCTGTGCACTTAAAAGAACCCACGAATCCGTTGGTATATGTCCAAATGGTGGCCACATGAATACGTGCAAACACCTAGTTGCGGGTACAGCAACGTGTGCAGTGAAGTTGGACAAAATACTGTGACTACGTGTCCCAGTCCACCCAGCTGTGAATGGGTACCTCGTTAGGATGAGGAAGCCACAATAACTCGGTGCGCCTAGTGGCAGCAAGAGTTGTATACTCCCCAGGGAGTTGAGATTGGTAATACGATGTGCAGTTGATATTGACATCGAATGATCGAGGGAAAAAATACCAGCGCCTTGAGCATGCACTAGTGCGTGGATATGTGCGCTATATAAATATCCTATAATAATAATTTGGTATTACAAAGTGACGGTAGTGTTGACCTTCACAGCCATTGGAATGTGTGGGTCTTGATGTGGGGTCAGTTGGTTATTAGGGCCTAAATAAAGAGTAAGTCAAAATATATACTGCTCTTCAAACTGGAAACAATAATGGATAGCCATACTGTCCCTCAAACTGCTAACAATAATGGATAGCCAACTTGCAGCTCAAACTGCTAACAATAATGGATAGTCATACTGCACCTCAAACTGCTAACAATAATGGATAGGCATACTGCCCCTCAAACTGCTAACAATAATGGATAGCCAAATTGCCGGTCAAACTGATAACAATATTGGATAGCCATACAGACTCTCAAACTGCTAACAATAATGGATAGTCATACTGACCCTCAACTGCTATCAATAATGGATAGCCATACTGCCCTTTAAACTGCTAACAATAATGAATAGCAATACTGCCCTCAAACTGTTAACAATAATGGATAGCCATACTGCACCTCAAACTGATAACAATAATGTATAGCCATACCGCCTCTGAAACTGCAAACAATAATGGATAGCCATACTGACCCTCAAACTGCTAACAATAATGGATAGTCATACTGCTCCTCAAACTAAGAAAAATGGATCGCCATACTGCCCCTCAACTTCTAACAATAATGGATAGCCATACTGCCCCTCAACTGCTATCAATAACGGATAGTCATACTGCCGCTTAAACTGCTAGCAATAATGGATAGCCAACTTGCCGCTCAAACTGCTAACAATAATGAACAGCCATACTGCCCCTCAAACTGCTAACAATAATGGATAGTCATACTACCCCTCAAACTAAGAATAATGGATCGCCATACTGCCCCTCAAACTGCTAACAATAATGGATCGCCATACTGACCCTCAAACTGATAACAATAATGGATAGCCCCACTGCCCCTCAAACTGCTAACAATGATGGATAGCCATAGTGCCCCTCAATCTGCTAACAATAATGGATAGCCAAATTGCCTCTCAAACTGCTAAGAGTAAGGGATCGCAATACTGCCCCTCAAACTGCAAACAATAATGGATCGCAATACTGCCCCTCAAACTAATAACAATAATGGATAGTCACACTACCCCTCAAACTGCTAACAATAATGAATAGCCATACCGCCCCTCAAACTGCTGGCAATAATTTATAGCCATACTGCCCCTTAAACTGCTAACAATAACGGATAGTGATACCGCCCCTCAAACTGCTAACAATAATGAATCGCCATACTGCCCCTCAAACTGCTAACAATAATGGATAGCCATACTGCCTCTCAAACTGCTAACAATAATGGATAGCCATACTGCCTCTGAAACTGGAAACAATAATGGATAGCCATACTTCCCCTCAAACTGCTAACATTAATGGATAGTCATACTGTCCCTCAAATGTCAAACAATAATTTATAGCCACACTGCCCTTCAAACTGCTATCAATATTGGATAGCCATACAGCCTCTGAAACTGCAAACAATAATGGATAGCCATACTGCCCCTCAAACTGCAAACAATTATGGATCGCAATACTGCCCCTCAAACTGCTAACAATAATGGATAGCCATGCTGCCTCTCAAACTGCAAACAAGAATGGATTGCCATATTGCCCCTCAAACTGATATCAATAATGGATAGTCATACTGCCCCTCAAACTGATAACAATAATGGATAGTCATACTGCCCCTTAAACTGGTAACAATATTGGATAACCATACTGACCCTCAAACTTCTAGCAATAATGGATAGCCATACTGCCCCTCAAACTGCTAACAATAACGGATAGTCATACTGTCCCTCAAACTGCTAACAATAATGAATAGCCAACTTGCCGGTCAAATTGTTAACAATAATGGATAGCCACACTGCCCCTCAAACTGCTAACAATAATGGACAGCCATACTGCCCTTCAAACTGCTAACAATAATCGATCGTCAAATTGTCGCTCAAACTGCTAGCAATAATGCATAGCCATACTGCCCCTCAAACTGCTAACAATAATGGATAGTCATACTGCCCCTCAACTGCTAACAATAATGGATGCCCATACTGCCCCTTAAACTGCTAACAATAATGGATACCCATACTGCCCCTCAACTGCTAAGAATAATGGATACCCATACTGCCCCTTAAACTGCTAAGAATAATGGATACCCATACTGCCCCTCAAACTGCTAACAATAATGGATCGCCATACTGCCCCTCAAACTGCTAACAATAATGGATAGCCATACTGCCCCTCAAACTGCTAACAATAATGGATAGCCATACTGCCTCTGAAACTGGAAACAATAATGGATAGCCATACTGCCCCTTAAACTGCTAACAATAATTGATAGTCATACTGCCCCTCAAATTTCAAACAATAATTTATAGCCACACTGCCCCTCAAACTGCTAGCAATATTGGATAGCCATACTGCCTCTCAAACTGCTACCAATAATGGATAGCCATACTGCCCCTTAAACTGCTAACAATAACGGATAGTGATACCGCCCCTCAAACTGCTAACAATAATGAATCGCCATACTGCCCCTCAAACTGCTAACAATAATGGATAGCCATACTGCCCCTTAAACTGCTAACAATAATGGATAGCCATACTGCCTCTGAAACTGGAAACAATAATGGATAGCCATACTGCCCCTCAAACTGCTAACAATAATGGATAGTCATACTGTCCCTCAAATGTCAAACAATAATATATAGCCACACTGCCCCTCAAACTGCTATCAATATTGGATAGGCATACTGCCTCTTAAACTGTAAACAATAATGGATAGCCATACTGCCCCTCAAAGTGCTAACAATTATGGATCGCAATACTGCCCCTCAAACTGCTAACAATAATGGATAGCCATGCTGCCCCTCAAACTGCAAACAATAATGGATCGCCATATTGCCCCTCAAACTGATATCAATAATGGATAGTCATACTGCCCCTCAAACTGATAACAATAATGGATAGTCATACTGCCCCTTAAACTGGTAACAATATTGGATAACCATACTGACCCTCAAACTTCTAGCAATAATGGATAGCCATACTGCCCCTCAAACTGCTAACAATAATGGATAGCCAACTTGCCGCTCAAACTGCTAACAATAATGGATAGCCATACTGCCCCTCAAACTGCTTACAATAATGGAAAGCCATACTGCCCCTTAAACTGCTAACAATAATGGATAGCCATGCTGCCCCTCAAACTGCAAACAATAATGGATCGCCATATTGCCCCTCAAACTGATATCAATAATGGATAGTCATACTGCCCCTCAAACTGATAACAATAATGGATAGTCATACTGGCCCTCAAACTGCTAATAATAATGGATACCCATACTGCCCCTCAAACTAAAAACAATAACGGATAGCCATGCTTGCTTTTCAACGGCCCAAAATAATGTATTGCCACACTACAGACTGCAGCAATAATGGATCTCAAACCTTACCGCCAAACTGCAAGGATTAAAAATCCTAACAACTTTCGATGTTTACGCATTCAGCTTCCTACAGTCACATGACAACCCCAACTCTCCCAACACTCGCGTCACAAGAACAGTAAACTAATAAAAGCCTTCCCGGGTTTCACATTCCCTGAACACATCATGTGTGAAGCGTAGTTGTGTTTCAGTAATCGCTACACGTCCAGAGTCGACATATGTTGGTGGGTGGTTGTAAAATGAGACTGTTTAGAACCGATTGAAACGGATGTTATATTGTGCGAAAACGAAGACACATCCATAATATGTCAGCCTTATCGTGACGAAAACAATTAATTATCAGTAAAGATCAATAATATTAGAATTAATAAAACTGTTTACGATGAGCAGTAAAACTACTAGTGTATCACAGAATACTATTATGCAAGACAATACCATATAAACACGGGCTATAAATCACCAGCAACTGCGAAAACGAAGAAACAGCTTTGGCCAATGTCATGCTGTCGCACCATTTCCACGAAAACTAATACTCTGTAATTGGTTGTAACACTTACACAAACCTACCGATCAATACACCACTCACGCGATATAATTCCACATACAAAATAACGAAAATGATGTTTAACTTTCAGCTTTGACTATACGAACAAGCATCAATAAACTGTTAGGGCAGCGGAAACTTTCAGTTGAATTAAATTTGAAATTCTATTCAAGTTGATGGGTATTAAATGATGAAGAATCACACCGAATAGATTAGAATATCGAATAGAAAACACACACTCACTCAGTAATCTTTCCACATGCAGCTTGCCATATGTTACCCCTCCCAACGTTTAGAACTGTACTTAAAAGCTAGTTTGAATGTTAATTGATGAGTATTCACTAAAAAGGAAAAGTATTCAGTACCTAAAACTCTCAGATATTCTGCAGAACAATAATACTTTCTCATACAAACGTTCAAAGAAGACATATGAAAAAGTGACCTTGTAATACAAACTTAAAATATCATTAATTTAGTTATATTTAACAAGTGTTTTGGTTAAGAATGTGTAGAATCTGCTCATAGAGTAAAACCTTAATTTCGTGGTTTGGTAAATGTTTCTGCAACATATTTCATTGGTTTCTGTCTCAACCACATAATCGAGCTTGCTCCTTTAACGAACATTTCTAAGCGTTGTTACAGCTCTTGCTGAGACATTGTATGAGAGTTACCTGATTTATTTCCTATTAAAAACTTAAGATTTTTATTACACTTTGGTGAATCAGTGACAGAAATTATGTCTGGTGCATGTTCTTATTTTGAGTTGTACTATGTGTTCCTGTGTATTTTCAAAAGGATAATTGCGGTACCTGTGCTTGTATTTATGATATCTGCCACAATTACTAGAGAAGATGCTCACTTTGTATCCCCACTATTTCAAAGTCAACAATAAACGCACCATTACGACGATCCACATTGTCTGATGTCAAATATCTCAAGTCGTTGAAGCCCTTTCATTAGCATCAAATCAGGGAATGATTATAGATAGGTGCCAAAGTTTCGGCAGAATATGTTCACATTGTATTACCGCAATTTGAAAGTCAATCAAAAACACATACTTATGAAAGCTTTTTGACAAGGATATGTAATGACTAGTCAATATTGATGCCTTTTTTATAGATGACATCAGTGAATCCTGGTTCTTCCACATTAAATGTGTGAGACCGGGAATTAAAACTAATGATGAGATTTTATAATATGAGAAAATGGTTTTCCCTGTATGATACAGTGAGAACGGTTGATTGGTTGTTTCACACCGCTATATGGTGGCGGTCTGTTAAAAAATGAGTCTGGACCAGACAATCCAGTGATCAGCTGCATGGGCATCGATCAACGCAATTTGGATACGATGACATGTGTCAGCCAAGTCTGTGAGCCTGACCACCCTATCCGATTAGTTGCCTCTTAAGACAAGCATGGGTTACTGAAGATCAATTTTAACAGGGATTTTCCGCCCCCTTCAAGGGTGCAGTGAGAACGAGTGAGTGAGTGAATTTAGTTTTACGCCGTTTTAGCAATGTTCCAGCAATATCACGGCGCGGGACACCAGGCTTCGAACATTGGATATTTAATGTGACGAGCGAACGCTTTGACCACTGGGCTTCCCCACCACCCCACAGTGAAAACGGTCGCAATATAGTACACATGGGTTCTGCATCATGACAAGTACATACTGAGCGTGTTTATCACCATTCCCTGGAAATAATAACTATTTCCCCGACTAATGCACTCTTCTCCTGGTTAAACTGTAATCAAACTATCACATCATAAAACTGTAAATTTGGTATTGAAGTTCTTCACGTTTATCTGACAGAAGATCGCAAGAGATCAAAACAGTGACCTCTGTGTTAATTATCCACATATCCTGACATGATTAATGTTCATCATAAAATAATTTAAATCCGTGTCTGTCAGAAACATGCAGACAAAGGTCAGAAGGTATGATGCAGGTGAAACGGGATATTTTAACACTGAGGTGCGAACATGTGTTGGTTCATGTTTATAAGCTTGTCAGGAACTCGACTGGACAGCAGTTCCAGCTGTGGGGATCACTGAAGAGACATGTTTTGGTTTGTATATTTTTCAAACATTTAAAAAAATCTATTTTCTGCATGATGTGATATTATTAGATTTGAGACAGGTCACTCTGAGTGTTTTATTTGCCTTCTTTGTTGATGTCCCATGGTCCCTGGTATGGTGATCTACCTTCAGTTGTTGGCGATTTATAGCCCATTTTATACTGTATTGTCCTAATTTAAATCCATTTTTAGAAAGTAATGCTAGTTTTATTTCTTGATACTGTGATATTCTAGTCGACTTTACTGTCCTTCGATGACAGGTTTTTATAATTTACATGTATTTATGGTGAACTCTAAACTTCTTGTAGTCACGATATGGCTAAAACATTGCCGATGTGACTTTAAAGTTTGATTCACTCACTCCTTGTTGATGTATGATGTCGATCAGTAAGTTGATGGCAAGACCGTGGTGTGCAGTGACTCTCACTCAATCGGGGCGGTGGGGTAGCCTAGTGATTAAAGCATTCACTCATCCGCCGTGATATTGCTGGAATATTGCTAACAGCGGCGTAAAACTAAACTCATTCCCTGCCACTAAATACTATGGGTGGACGGCACTATTGGAGCACTGTAATTAAGAGGGATTTCCATAGCCATGAAAGAAACCTAAGGCAACTTCAAGGTAACAGTGTATCACAGAAACCTGTCTCCGGACCAGTAGGATGCTGGGTTAACCTGACATAAGGGCATTCCACCGGTAGGGATTAGTAAGTGAGTGAGTGGGGATATTTTAGGAATATTCCCTCAACATCACGACGGGGGATACCAGAACTGGGCTTTACACATTGTACTCAAGTTGGGAATCGAACCCGGATCTTCGGGCGTGACGAGCGAACGCCTTTACTACTCAGCTACTCTAGCGCCTCCGTAGGGATTAACATCTATACTGCGTAAAGTGGGTGGCGAGATATTGGTACAAGGTGTGTTTGGTGTAAGGTAACGTGGTAACATGGAAACAGTGACAGGGAAACGGTACTTACATGTATGCTATGTAAGGACTGACAAAATCAAACAAAACAAATACAAACGTATTTCAGATATAGATAAATGACTATCCCTTTTTAGAATATTCGAGTATTATTCCCTCAGGTACTTGCGAGTCGCTATGTTTGCTGTGGCCACTCTCGTCGCACTGCTTCTGCATGGAGCAAGCGGAACAACAGAGGTGAGGGCTGTACATTCTACTTTAGTTACCCGTGAATAAACTTACCTTATTTCTACATGAGCTGTGTCATTCAGGGTGCTGTACATTCTACTTTAGTTACCCGTGAATAAACTTACCTTATTTCTACATGAGCTGTGTCATTCAGGGTGCTGTACATTCTACTTTAATTACCCGTGAATCAACTAACCTTATTTCTACATGAGCTGTGTCATTCAGGGTGCTGTACATTCTACTTTAGTTACCCGTGAATCAACTAACCTTATTTTTACATGAGCTGTGTCATTCAGAGCGCTGTACATTCTAATTTAGTTACCCGTGAATCAACTAACCTTATTTCTACATGAGCTGTGTCATTCAGGGTGCTGTACATGCTACTTTAGTTACCCGTGAATCAACTACCCTTATTTCTACATGAGCTGTGTCATTCAGGGTGCTGTACATTCTACTTTAGTTACCCGTGAATCAACTTACCTTTTTTCTACATGAGCTGTGTCATTCAGGGTGCTGTACATTCTACTTTAATTACCCGTGAATCAACTACCCTTATTTCTACATGAGCTGTGTCATTCAGGGTGCTGTACATTCTACTTTAGTTACCCGTGAATCAACTAACCTTATTTCTACATGAGCTGTGTCATTCAGGGTGCTGTACATTCTACTTTAATTACCCGTGAATCAACTAACCTTATTTCTACATGAGCTGTGTCATTCAGGGTGCTGTACATTCTACTTTAGTTACCCGTGAATCAACTAACCTTATTTCTACATGAGCTGTGTCATTCAGGGTGCTGTACATTCTACTTTAGTTACCCGTGAATCAACTAACCTTATTTCTACATGAGCTGTGTCATTCAGGGTGCTGTACATTCTACTTTAGTTACCCGTGAATCAACTACCCTTATTTCTACATGAGCAGTGTCATTCAGGGTGCTGTACATTCTACTTTAGTTACCCGTGAATCAACTAACCTTATTTCTACATGAGCTGTGTCATTCAGGGTGCTGTACATTCTACTTTAGTTACCCGAGAATCAACTATCCTTATTTCTACATGAGCTGTATCATTCAGGGTGCTGTACATTCTACTTTAGTTACCCGTGAATCAACTAACCATATTTTCTACATGAGCTGTGTCATTCAGGGCGCTGAACATTCTACTTTAGTTACCCGTGAATCAACTAACCTTATTTTTACATGAGCTGTGTCATTCAGGGTGCTGTACATTCTACTTTAGTTACCCGTGAATCAACTAACATTATTTCTACATGAGCTGTGTCATTCAGGGTGCTGTACATTCTACTTTAGTTACCCGTGAATCAACTAACCTTATTTCTACATGAGCTGTGTCATTCAGGGTGCTGTACATTCTACTTTAGTTACCCGTGAATCAACTAACCTTATTTCTACATGAGCTGTGTCATTCAGGGTGCTGTACATTCTACTTTAGTTACCCGTGAATAAACTTACCTTATTTCTACATGAGCTGTGTCATTCAGGGTGCTGTACATTCTACTTTAATTACCCGTGAATCAACTAACCTTATTTCTACATGAGCTGTGTCATTCAGGGTGCTGTACATTCTACTTTAGTTACCCGTGAATCAACTAATCTTATTTCTACATGAGCTGTGTCATTCAGGGCACTGTACTTGCTACTTTAGTTACCCGTGAATCAACTAGCCTTATTTCTACATGAGCTGTGTCATTCAGGGTGCTGTACATTCTACTTTAGTTACCCGTGAATAAACTTACCTTATTTCTACATGAGCTGTGTCATTCAGGGTGCTGTACATTCTACTTTAGTTACCCGTGAATCAACTAACCTTATTTCTACATGAGCTGTGTCATTCGGGTGCTGTACATTCTACTTTAGTTACCCGTGAATCAACTACCCTTATTTCTACATGAGCTGTGTCATTCAGGGTGCTGTACATTCTACTTTAGTTACCCGTGAATCAACTACCCTTATTTCTACATGAGCTGTGTCATTCAGTGCGCTGTACATTCTACTTTAGTTACCCGTGAATCAACTAACCTTATTTCTACATGAGCTGTGTCATTCAGGGCGCTGTACATTCTAACCTTATTTCTACATGAGTTACCCGTGAATCAACTAACCGTATTTCTACATGATCTGTGTCATTCAGGGCGCTGTACATTCTACTTTAGTTACCCGTGAATCAACTACCCTTATTTCTACATGAGCTGTGTCATTCAGTGCGCTGTACATTCTACTTTAGTTACCCGTGAATCAACTAACCTTATTTCTACATGAGCTGTGTCATTCAGGGTGCTGTACATTCTACTTTAGTTACCCGTGAATCAACTAACCGTATTTCTACATGAGCTGTGTCATTCAGGGCGCTGTACATTCTACTTTAGTTACCCGTGAATCAACTAACCTTATTTCTAAATGTACCCACTGCCATTGGATCAAGAACAATATCTTCTCGACTACCAAATAACACCTCTATTTTCACAGCAGAAGCTCACGCGATATTAACAGCTCTTAAATATATTAATAAACACCGTAAATATATACAATACATTATTTTTTCCCATTCTCCTTCGTGTCCTCAGGGTATTAAAATATTTCTTGTAAACATCCACTTTTATTAGAAATTATTGTATTGTATAATGAGCTTGCTACTGCCCAATGCGAGATCGTCTTTTGTTGGTTACCCAGCCACGTTGGCATTTCTGGGAACACAATGGCCGATCTTGCTGCTAAGGCAGCACTCAACACATCTGTGACACCACCTCTGATCCCATACTCTGATTACAAAGCTGCTATTAGAGTTTATATCCGTGATCTTATGCAAAAGAAGTGGGACACTCAAGTAAGTATTAGTAAAATCCATGCACTAAAACCAACTATCGGTTACACCTACTTGGGTTGTCAGTCCAGATTTGAAGAGGTCATCATACGACGATGTCGTATTGGTCATACATGATATACTCACGAATACCTATTTAAAGGTGAGGATCCTCCGTTTTGTATCCTTTGTGATGAAAGAATCACGGTCAAGCATGTCCTGCTTGACTGTGTTGAATATTCCATCACAAGGGATCTCTATTTCAAATCCCAAACTATGAAGGATCTTTTTAGTATTATAAGTTCTCATTTAATTATTGCATCTTAAAAAAATATAGACTTGTTAACTGATTTGTAAATAGATACATATTTTATTATTGTTAGTTTCAATTAGTAACTGAGATTGTTAGTGGCTGTACCCTCAAAGGGGGTTGAAGTAGCGTAAAATTATTGTCCTCCTGAGAGGATACGTAAGTCCTCAATCATTCAAAGGAAATTTAAATTTACCAGCTGTTTTAAATGTAGTATTCTTGTCATTTTAACTTTGGCTAAATTTGACTTCAATCGCCAGCGGTTGAAGGGATGATGTAAATCGAAATAGGGTCCATGCAGGTAGCAAAAGTAATGTAAGTCGCCATGGTCCCTAGTTTGGGGATGTACCTTCGGTTGTTGGCGATCTATAGCCTGATTTTATATTGTATTGTCCAAATAATGCTATCAGTTTTAATTTTCCACAGTAGTTTTAGTTGTAATTGTGCTATTCTAATTGTTTTACTGTCCTTCGTCGACAGGTGTTTATAATATACATCTAGTCCATTTCAATGTCACATATGTTCTCGTCACGACATGGCTGAAATATTGCCGATGTTACGTTAAATAATAACTCACTCACTCACTCTAAATGTACCACGACATTCAAAGCACTATACATTATACTTCAGTTTTGCGTGAATCAACTAACCTTATTTCTAAATGATACTGCACGTTATTGTCCAGTGTGATCGCTTGACTGT